GCAGTTTCAAAAATAATTCAATTATACCAGGTAACTAATATATTCTGCTATATCAATTCAGTTCAATGCAATAATTATTTATTATCGTTCGATGAAGCATTATTTCCAATTTTTTAATTATACAATAATTGTTTTCAAAACAATAAATGCTCCCAATCTCGTTTAATTTTCATTAGTATCTACTTTGTATTTATTAAAAATTTTGTAAATAATACAACCTTTTTCACTTAAATTCTATTGTTATATTAATTAAACATTAATATACTCAATGTTGGTATGAGCAGTACCTGAGTAATGAGAATTTAATTGCATTTAATTTTTCCTTTGTTTGTTAATCTTATTAAATATGTCTAAAAATTGTTCACCTCCCATACTAAATTTTTTAAAATTCTAATGTTCCGGATCGTCATCTGACACACAGGAAGTGTATGCATGATGCATAGAGAACACGTAGTATCAATATCCCAATGTCCAGGAAACGAATAGAAGAGCAGATGTTAAAAGTCTAGTTCCCTGAAGAGTACATTTCCTTTCGGAAAAAAACAACAATTTTAAGAACGTGAGATACGCGATAATTCTCGGTTTTTAATGGACAATATTAAATAAGTTCATTCGATTATGGAATATGTCTTCAATGCACCAATTTCTTTGAAATCTATAATTAAGTACTCACCGAAGAATATCTATAAGAGATGCAGCGTCCGCAGATTTATCTGAAAAATAATATAAATTCATCGTTAACATTACTATAAAATATCATTGAAAAAGAAATTCATTTTCTAAACGTTTTAATCGTTAGAATCGGTACATATATTTCAATGAATAGATATCTGCTGATTCATTATCGAGACAGAAAAAACAACTTTCACAATAATTCTGACGTAGTTTATCAATAACAAAGCAGGTATTGCATCATCTGATATCGTCAGAAGTGTTGACTTCTTAAATATTTAACTTAATAAAACTGTGACAGTGTCCCCTTTTTTAAGAACATTCAGTCGGGCCAATTGAAACTTTGAATTTCTTAGTATGGTTCTCATGCCGGAAGTAAACGATTATTTATAACAAAACAGCAGATATAAACGATAAGATAAGAAACACAATAAAGCGGATAATTGCAACGAAGATTCATTAAAAGTTTTTTGTTACCTACTAAAAACGATACTGATACACGGTTCACACGGAAATCGCAAAACAGATATCGTTTCTGGGCAAAAAAGCTACTTCCTGGGAAACGAATGATTTTGTTCGCGAGAGATCAGTTATCATTCCGGCGTACACAAAACATCGTCTAGTTAGAATTAACGTCAGAGGCATCCGCGGAGCTTTTAAATATTAGCTCGTTGGCTGAACAAACAGGCTCGCGCAAAACGAAATGTATCTCACGTGGCATAAACCTAAAACACGAATTTAAAGATAATGTCTTTCCGATGAATAGACGAATTCGTTCTGATGTTTGCAACAAAGTATATTAATATTTAACTTGTTATATCCATCTTAAAGTAACTTGTAAACAACCAATATAACAGAGAAGAAAGTAAACAACGTATATTTTTCGTCTTCAAAGTATAATGCAAAATATCTGGAAAAAATGTTGCATAATTAAATTAAACGTACAAACAACTTCTGTAGTTGAAAATTATATTCTCTCATTCAAATTAAATTGATTAAACACAAAAAGTGATGAAGAAAAATTTTTAAAATTTAAAAAATTTTCAAACTTTTTATTTAACATAAGAAAAACTACAAGAATACAAAGTATCTTATCGACAGTATTACATATATTTAGAAATAGGAAAGTATATTATTCCAGCATACTTTTAATGCGTTTGTAGATGCATGCCTTTTAAATCACTCAAAGTACATTTTTATTATCAATATGCTATACTCTTTCTTCTTTACAATAACAACAGATGTTCACTAAATTAAAATGGCATGAAACACAAGGTCGTTGCGTCTTAAAGGAAAAAATAAAAGAATGGTTTTTAAAACACAAAAAGTACTTAGAATCATATCTACTTGCATTGGCAACACATTGCAATCATCAAATTACGAAAACTCACATATAAGAATGAAGAGAGTTACATAAGTAACTTTCTACCAAAAACAAACAAGAAATGGCATGTCGTTTAAAAAACGGAAGAACCTTAAAAGAGAGTAGTTATTAACACGATATGACATTCGCGACATTATGCAACTTATCTATGTAAAAATGTTCACATTTCTAAAATTGATAGAGGCAATCGGAGTGATAAAAATTATCGTATTATTTATTCTTTAGGCACAAATGTAACATGCTGTAATTAATTCGTTTAACCTCGATAAATATATCATTAATGTATTATTTATAAAGTTAAAAAGACGGAATAATTCATTTTTTATAGAAAAAATCGTGCGTTCAGTTAGTAACATAATATATTTTCTAAATTATTTTTTTAATTGCTTAATATAGTACAGGTTCGAAAAATAAGTAGTTCATTATACGCAGCTATAATTTATTCATAGTTTAATTATAATGATAGTTGATTCGCTAGTTGCTTGCAACTGAAATATATAATCAGCAAGTAACCGTTATAGAACACGTAGTAAGTATTAATTATTCTGATTAGTGCAATTAGTTGTGCGTATTATATTTTCTTCGATTTCGTATATTTTCTACGCTAGGATTTTCTTGAACCGATAGTATATGATTAATGTTCTTCCTGTGTAATTTTATAAGATGCCAATTTACAGTCAAACTCTGCAACTTCTAACCACGTTTGTAAATATCTCTATTGATAACGATGAGTTTCGGTGTCAGGAATTTGAAACACTGTTCCACCTGTCACGTAACTGAAATGCTAAATTTTCCCTACATAAATAGCTTCTGAATTGATAAGGAACTAGTCGTTTCTTGATAAGAAGTACGTTAGATTAAGTATTTATGAAACTTTAAATTTCATTAGATTTGAATTGTGTCATTGATGTAACAGAATCTTTCGTGTCCTGTATATACTTCTAATTACATGGTACTTGGAAATGTACACTACGCTTGAAATCATGTTTAATCTGAAAGAAAATAGAGTAGAAAATAATAAAATTCACTCTTGTATCTAAATTCTAAATTTTTTTTCCATTGTATTATCTAGCTTCCTTTTTCTTTGAACAAACAGTACCTACTATTCCGTTCTTTTTTTCTTCAGTTAATAAATCTTGAGCAGTGTAACAGATCATGATACTTTCTCGTTTGAAATTATTGTACCTTCGTAAACATCTTCGCCTGACAATTAATTACTTTTCGATGATAAATGCTTCACCAAAAAAAAAAGAAAAATTATTTCAAGGAAAAGAATTTAACTGAGTCTTAGGCAGCAATTTGAAATAAATAGGTACAGATTAATTTTCCATTAAATAAATAATCTCTCATCAAATAAACAATCTTTTTCTCTTAGCAATCTGGCAATCATAATAAATGTATAATTATCATAAACGGATTTTCATTTAAATAAAATATTAATATCTCTTTAGGTAAAGTTCTAATAATCTCGCAACGAGATGACAAGATCGAGTCAAAGAACCGTCGGTTCGTTATAAAGAAATCCCCAAACTGCTTGGACGTCTACATACCCCATAAAAATGCGTATGGTGCTTGCTTTATATCGGTCGATGCGGTTCCCACGACACCCCGTGCACCGTTTCTATGGGAAAGTTTTATTGGGGTGAAATTGTCGTGTCTATACTTGCTTACCCACACGCACAAGCGGGCGCGCGCGCGCGTCCATCACAGCGCTGAACATTCAACGACTCCCGCTCGTCGGCTATTGAATATTTTAACGCGACACGAATTATCAGTTTCGCGCCGATTCAACTATTCATCGTTACTTTGTTGAACAATCATGTTGACATAATATCAGTTTGTCGTATTTATATATGGAATATCTTGTTCTGTTAGAGATAAGGGACTCTCTGATTCGGCAATATTCAAAAACAATGGGAAATTTCCTAGAAAGGAACATCAGCAAACATTTCTATCGAGTATAATTAGCAATCGATGAATATTAAAAGATCCTTCCAGAATAGGACGAAATGTTTGCCTCCAAATATTAGCTAAGCAGAATAATTAATCTGAGAACACCTTTGAATCAACGATAAAAAAAACAACACGACACACGTGTGAATTATAATGAAATAAGGTATCAAATGTTTCAAATATTTTAAGAAATTTTTCTTAAATAATTTGAAATCATTAATACCTTTTTCTTAACATTACATATAAAAATATGATATTATTATATCACATAAACACATTTTGAAAACTACGCAACTACTTTTCACCGTTGCGCAAGACACAATTGGATTGTTTAACACTTTCCCTGGTTTTTTCCTGAGAAACAAGAGATAAACATTATATGTACAGGTTTACGTGTGTTGGAGAAAACAATCTGCGATATAAATCAAAACGAAAACCAACGTTAAACGAATTGATACCGGTTACGCACGTGATCGAATATACAGTTGTAAAAAATTACTAAGAAGCAACGTCATGCGAATTGATATTGCTTATACACAAGATACGAGTTCATTGAAACTGAACAACGTAAGGTGTTTCAATACTGTGTAGCACTTACTGCATTTTAAACAGCCATTTAAATTGTATCGTAAATTGAAGCAACACAGATCAAAAGTGTTTGCTGACTGTACAAATGAGAAACTGTCAGTGCGGAAACTTCGCGTATCATCTGCATTGATATCGATATCTGGAACGGCTTAAGATAAATTCGAAAAAGATGAAAAGAGAAACGACGAGAAAAAAATAAAAAATTAATATGACAAGCCCGACAACAAAAAACTGCATATTTTCTGTTTGGTTCTGCGAAACTGAACGAGGGGGTGAATGTGCACGCGCGAGAAGTAACCTGCGTTTACGTGTATTTGCGAATTTATCAGCGCGAAATTTACATAAATCCTCTGATAACGCGTTAACGTAGCATTAATTAGCCATGATTGTACATTGACACAGGTGTAGAAAATTACGCGCGTGTTTGAAGAACCGAAACTCCTCGACGATGCGCGGCCAGATCAATTTTTTTCAGAATTTCTGCCCGTATATAAACGAGGATGCCGTTTTATCAGTGTCTAAGTCTATCCTGTTGAGCGACGAGGGCGATCAAACCAAGGATGGCGAGAACTATTCTCGTCCTATATATCCTTGTCGCCGTTGTTAGTGTAAGTGAAAATACAATTCCAATGTTCTGGTTAGTGTTGAGATCTGTCGTGTTCTGCCAAACAATTCTGGAAATGGATAGAAATACAGTGAAAAATAAAATAGTGATAGATCGCGAGCATGAAAGAAACAGTGATGGAATAGTGATAGTAATTTTGTACCGACACCAATTAATGACAATATATTTTCACTTGTGGACGCACCATGTGATTGACCAAGTTTTGCACCTGTAACACCATAACAGTATTTTAGTAGAAAATTTATTAATAAAATGTTTAATTATTTAAAATGAATAAGTCAGTGATAAAATAAACGATCACACAAAGAAAAGTTTATTAAATAAAATGACATTAAAATTTCAAATTAGACACTTTGGATCTTTAATTTTTTTGTAATAGGTTTCATTGAATGTAATAATTATCAACGCGAAGAATTTCATCGTGACAATATTAACTGTTATTAGACGATAATATTATCTGCACTGTTCTTTGTTTCCATCATAATTATTCATCAATTTTTCTTTGCATTTAAAAGTCTATTACTGGAAATGCATTCGAGAAGTCAACATAATTGGATCTAAATTCTGCCCGTTTTGAAAGTAATGTAGTATTGTGATGTCCTGAGTTCGAGATATACTGAATAAATTAGATTAGTATCGATGAACAGAAAGCTGAGAACGATGTGGAAAGCAAGTCATGCTATCCAAGTGCTATAATCTCGTGGTAGGGTAATCTGCAAGTGTGACTCTATCGAAAATATTGCTGCCGCGAAAATCCTACTTATCAAACACCACCTACTATTTTTAACATCCTGTTATCCACTTGTGTATATTTGGACTCTTCGCTTGGCTTAGAAAACTCGAAAACAACGCCTACCGGTCCTATGTTAACACATAGTGTTACATGGATTACAATCGCTAATCAGCGTACTGTTCTTAAAATTTAGATTTAATTAGACTATTCAACTGACGATTTTGCATTGCAGAGCAACGTTATTCCTCAACAAGATGAAGAAGTTTATGAATACAGTGCAGAAACCTGGGGACTTGACTTTGGGATGTCCAAACGGATTGAATTCTACGTCGAAAGTTCGAAAGAAGTCATAGAGGAAACTACTGCTACTGCCAACTTCCACTTCGAGGAAATCAAAAAAATTGAATTCCGTCTGAATGATGACGCAGTTACAAAAGTCAATGCCATATTTGAAGTGGTAAAACAAACGAAAATGACAAACTATTAATTTTATAACAATTATTAAATAACAATATAATGAAAATGATATTACTTAAATAACATGTGCTAATATTGTAATTCCAAAATTATTACTAAAACATAAAGATCGTAGACTATCACAAAAGAATAAATTATGTTGTTCAAAATTGCAAAATAAATCATTATTCTTTTAGGTGGACATAAAAGTTATTCAGTGGCAGAAGAGAGCCCGCGGTAGAGATATTAGTAGATGCCTTAAAGACTTAGAGAAAATAAAACTAATTGGAGATGGAATTATTGAAGATGTCGCAATTTGTGTTGCGGAAGAAGTGAACAAAACGGTCAACGTAATACAGCAAATTAGGGAAAAATCAGAAGAAATGATGGCTAAACTTGACGACATCACGAAAGACGCGGCACACTGCGCAAGGAAAAATATTTTTCAAGTTCCTATATGTTTAGCAAGAGTAAGTACACGATAAACTACATCAACAAAACGTAGTACAAAACACACCAAAATTCAACGCATACTAAAGAACATAAAGACACAAAACATTACCACAATCAATCAATTAATGCAAAAACCCATAAAAAAGAAAATTCAATAAATGAATCTGAAAAACGGCTTAACAAATAGTACAATTATATACAGGTATTGGCAAAAGTAACAACACTCGCCAAAGAAGAAGTAGAAATTGTAGCTCAGGATATTCGGATATTAACACAAATAGTAATAGAAGGAAAACAATCGCTGATCAACTGTTCTGTAACAAAAAAGCTACCAGAATTTCTAAAATTGGTAGCACACATACTAGGTGCATTCGAAGACTGTGTCATAGTTTGCATCCACAATCCAGGTAAGTAGAAAATATAATACATTATAAAAGACTGGATATTAAAATGAACCAATATAAACAAAAACATCCACGCAGGAACAGCAGCAACAACAACACCACAACAAACTACGAAAAGCACGACACACGCAATAATAACGACAGACGGCCCTACAACCACAGAAGAGCTCTGCAACACGCAACCAGAAACACCAAAGAGCTCAATTTCGACAAGTACAAAGGCCACAACTGAAAGTACCACGCTGTCGACCTCCGGAGGACCTTGGACGCCATCAACAACTACTAGCGAGAAACCCACGCCCAGCAGTACCGAAACCACGACAGGAAGTGGCACCCAGCCCACTTCCGGAGGATCTTGGA